GTTATTGTCGAGGGCATATACTGTACGTTAAAGAAATGGTGTCCAAACTGACTTTATAAAGTTTCGATTTAATGTACAGTATATATTTTTGCAAAAAAAAAGCGGCCTCATATGAGGCAAATCGCTTGTCGTCTAGACACTACCAAGGGTAGACGCTACACCGAGTTGGGCGGCTGAGCCCCCACCGGTTAGATCCTTTCTGAGTAAAGAGGGAGGTCTCATACACCCGGACCATGCTCCGACTCACACACTCCGATAGTGTGGGCAGCCGAAGGACGAGACAGGCATGTCGGACACTCCCAAGTGCCCCAAGTGCGGTCAAAGTTTTTCAGGGTGCGACTGCCCCTGCTTGGCTGATGGATGCAGAGAATGGATATCGTGTGAAGTATGTTGGATGTGCCGAGCACACTGTTCGTGCTCGGGTACATCCAACCTGGAGATGACGGTGCACAGCGGGGTTGGCGAGATGTGGGAGGCCTACAGGAGAAGGCTCAAGGCTATGAATCCAGAAGGGTTGTCGAAACCTTGGGTCAAGGGCCTTCACATCGCTATGGAAGGGGGCAACCTATGCGTCGTCCGAGAGGGCTGGAGGCCTAGACGTGTCAGGATGACTAGTGAGTTACCAGTGAGTTATTACCACACGTCCCCGCATGGCAGAACGGACGGTATTCTCAGCGAGAGTGTTTGCCGATTCATGAGTGAGTTGGGGCGTCTCTTGGAGCTTGGGAGAGTTAAGTTGATAACGGGGAGTGGCGCTATTCAAGGATGCAGTCCCCCTGAAGCAGCGTGCGTATTGAGGCTGGATTCGGAGGTCATCGTCCCGCTCAGCGAGGAAGCGGAGGGGAGACTAAGGAGGAGAGACCTTGCGCTTGGGAAGCTCACGGATGGACCATGCTCGAGTGTAAGTAACTGGCTGGGGCATGGGGTTCCAGGGAACTGGGTGCTGATACACCCGACATGGAGTCCTCGTACGAACGAGAGTGCTAAATTTGACAGCAGGAAACTTGACCCGGCAGGAAGACTCAGGCGACTCAGATACTCGAGGACGAGGAGTGTGCAACCGTGCGCCACGACCAACGTCCTCGGTCCTAGAGGGGTTATTGTGAGCATACCGTTCGCGTCCGCAGCGCACGATAGCTACCGGGGCGTCAGGATAGATGTCGCCCTACTAAGAGCGGCAGCCGCTGCTGGGGTTAGGCGCATAGAAGCAGGCGCGGACATAGGGACGGAGCTACTCTTCGAGAGCACTCCCGG